GCACCACTTTTAACTCTTAGATGATCTGTTTGCTGTTTTAAACCATATTCTCAAAATAAAATGCTTTAATTTCTTTATGTAGTTGGGGAGTATAATTGACCTATACAACATTATATTGGTTTTAGGTATACAGTGTGATGATTCAATATTTGTATATATTGCAAAACAATGACCATGTTTCTTGAGTTTTAGTTTTAAGCATCATATATGACTTCCCTTTATGAAAAAAGAGGAATTATCTTCTTCCCCCTGTAGCCCTCACCATACACACGTCTCTTCCACCCCTCATATTCTGAATATGGCTGTAGCATAGTTTTATTATGCACTTTTTTTTTTAATGCTTATTTATTTTTTTTTTTTGAGAGAAAGAATGTGAGTAAGGGACAGGCAGAGAGAGAGAGAGATAGAAAGAGAGAGAATCCCAAGCAGGCTCCATGCTGTCAGCACAGAGCCCAAAGCAGGGCTTAATCTCACAAACTGCGAGATCATGACCTGAGCTGAAATCAAGAGTTGGATGCTTAACTAACTGAACCACCCAGGCCCCCCTGCTTTGCATTCTATATATTATGACTATGTAAATGCTATTCCTGTTTAATCCATGGAGTAAACTAAAATTAATTTCCTTTCCTACCCAACTTTTTCTGTTCTTTGGAGTTTATAGTTTGTTTGCTTAGTTTTTTATGTGCTTAACATTACTTGAATCTCCAACTTGCTACCAGTTGTCTAAATCTTTTCTCAGAATAGTCAGAATCATCTATTATTCTGTGAATTAATTCTTTCTTATGTGGCCTCTTTTGTTTCTAAGTAGCTTTTTTCATTTTATTTCATTTTTTAAGTTTCGTGTCCTCTTAGAGGCCTTCTTCAGGTGTCTGATAATCTTTGATTTTCTGCTCATGTTTGAGTTGGAAACTAAAAAGTTCATTTGAATCTCTGAGCTTAGGTGGGGCTTGTTGACTCTGAGCTTCACTGTAGGGCAGTGTAGCTGGACTATTGCATTGGTGGGCACTTTTTATGTCACTTTCCCCAGGTCATTCCTCTTGAGCTATTCAGATTCCCCAGAGATGACTTAAAAAAAATTTTTTTTTTGCTTTGTTTTTGTTTTGGTCTGGAACAAAAGACCCAGTTACTAGCATGCTGTAACTTTGATATTTACTGTGCTTTTCTTCTTGCTTTTAGAACAATTTTCCCAACCACAGCCATGCCTTGTAACTCCGTGTGTAGATACCCTCTCTTTTACCCTCTCCAAGTACTCCAAAGTACTCTAAAGGTTTTCTGTCAGGGAGGAAGAGATCTGGGGGAGTCTAACTGCTTCTTTAACCAGGGAGCTTCCAGTTAGACCTGGTGTTTCTATTTCCTGAGTTGTTGGGAGAGAGCTCTGCCTTGTAGATCTGGTTTTTTCTTTGCTTTTTTTTTTTTTTTTTTAAGTTTATTTATTTTCAGACAGAGAGAGTGGGGAAGGGAGAGAGAGAGAGAGAATCCTAAGCAGGCTGGGCACTGTCAGCACAGAGCCTGACAGGAGGCTTGATCCCACAAACCATGAGATCATGACCTGAACTGAAATCAGGAGTCAGACGCTTAACGGACTGAGCCACCCAAGGCGTCCCTTTTTTTTGGCTTTCTTTACTACTAGTTTAGGATTTAGTCTTTTCAGAGTTCCTAAGTCTTTGCTACTTGTCCATCTGTTCTTCACTGAAAAATTTTTGGTTCTTATTTCTTCTGTTCTCTGTCTTCAAGATTTTATGTCATTTTACTGTCAGTTCATAGGTGTTTTGGGAGGGGGTGAAGATAGATGCTTGTGTTCGTTTCATCACCTTCACCCCATAGCATGTGCTCATAACTGGTATATAGGCTCCCTCCGAGGGAGGCTGAGTGTCACTGGAGCATATGGCATGGTGGGAGGAGCAGGTAGAACTTCACCTGTCTGTTGATTAGCATAAGTGATTAATAGGGAACAGTCTATATTATAGATGTACGTATGTGAAGAATAGTGTCTAAGTATGAGTCGCATTCTGGAGTTGAGTGAGCTACAAGACAATCAGTAAAGCTACTTTGAAACACGGATATAACCATAACACTTACACTCTTCTCAAAGTTACATCCAGGCACTTGAGAGGCAGTTGCTTGGATATGCATTCTCAAAAAGGGTTCTGGCTGGGTGGGTTAGAAGGAAGCAAACTGCCAGTGTGTCTAATGTCTAAGTGTATAGGACTCCCTGCCCTGTATGCAGCAGCCTGCGTTAATTAGTACAGCAGGGATCACCTTTTTGCTTATCCCATTTAATTACTACTGACCTCAGGAAGGTTTGGACCTGTTAATAGTTATAATAGAAGCTGAATATAGTTATACGATTTTTAGGTATTCAAGTTTTGCTCCAGCTCCTCGTAAAAAACCAGGACATCATAAAAGATTTGTTATCGAAGAAAAAAATAGTAAGCCTTCATATGAACTTTATGCCTGTTATGTCCCTAATATTCGTGCTTCTCAACTTCAGGTTACTTATTAGAAATGCATGTAGCTGGCACAATGTAGATTTTGCTCATTTGACCAGAAAGATTAACGTAAACAATCACACAACCCGTAGACAGGATTATCTGTACTGCAGCCCCTGGGTAAGTGCCAGTAGTGATCTCTGTGACTAATTATGAGTTACTATAGCGTGGATATTAGTACCCTGAAAAAATGTGGGTAAGTTTATCTATCTGGCTGTGGCTGCGAGAACATTATTCAGTGAATTTCATTCATCATGTGTACTCTGCTGAAAGAGTAATTGACGTACCAATCCGTGAGGGTCTAAGGTTTCCCAAGGAAGCCAGAAAATCAAATTTAGTAAATGCATAACCTTACTTTTTCATAGTTTTTAAGTTCACTAAAGGTGAAGTTGAAGGAATGTGTCATCAAGCTCCTAATATGAGTTAAGTTGCTTATTACATGGCTATTTTCCTTACAACTGAGAGAGTTTGTATTTACTTATTAATTTTTGCCAGTGTTTCATATAATACTTTTAAGAAAAAAGTGCCACAGGTTTAAACTAATAGTGATAGGGCTTCCTGTGTCAGAATAGGTTGAGAATAATTTTTTCCTTTTTTTTAATGTTTATTTTTGAGAGCCAGAGTGCATAAGTGGGGGAAGGGCTGAGAGAAGGAGACAGAGGCTCTGAAGCGGGCTCTGCACTGACAACAGAGAGCGCGATGTGGGGCTCGAACTTGCAACCCGTGAGGTCATGATCTAAGTTGAAGTCGGACGCTTAACTGAATGAGCCACCCAGGCACCCTGAGAATCATTTTTCTAAGGCAGCACTATCCAATAGAACTTTCTATGATGATAGAAGTGTCCTGTATCCATGTTGTACATAGGGTAGGTGCTGGTCACTTGTGGCTTGGAATATGGTTAGTGTGGTCCAGGGACTGAATATTTTATTTTAATAGCCACCCGTGGCTGGTGACTGTTATATTGGACTGCGTAGATGTTGTCTGGGTGTTACAGTAAACAATGGGGGACAGACAAAGGAGGGGAGAGCCTTGGCCACCAGGCTGCTAGGTTTGAATGCCTTAGGGATTTTGAAAAAACAAAGATGGTCCCATCTTAAATCAGAAGATACTTTTTTTTCCTTCAAGTTTTAATGCTTTCTGTTAAAAAACCCTTTTAGTGAAGAGCAGTGGTCACAGAGACAGCTTAGCCCTAGAAATATTTTGACATGGAGCTCATTTTTCTATGGTAGGAATGCTTTAATTGGACATACATTTCTGAGAAACTAAAAGAACATCGACATATGTGACTGGCACTGTTGTCACAAGAAGTATAACCTATTGATAGTGTAAAAGAATAAAACATGTGTCTGGGTCCCATAAAAAACCTAAGTGTAACTAAGTGTAACAAGTTCTTCAGGGTACTATAAATTATTAAAATTAACATGTTAGGATCTAGAATAATTTTTGAGAAATTACATTCGTAACCCAGGTCTACCCAAAAAATGCCAACACCACACACACAAAAAAACAAAAATTTGAAGGACCCTTATTTATCTCTTTCTAATTTCTATATTTAATCCCCCTGCTGGGGATCATAGGCATTCATTGATCATTCACATTACTGGTTATGTGCCTACTGTATGCTAGACACTTGTTGTAGCTGGATTGGGTGTGGGGAGGGGGAATAATGAATAGGACCATGACATTTGTCATCCCAGAGTGGGGTAGGGGAGTGGAAAGTGTGCCTGCAGTCACAGTGCAGTCAGACAAGTGCTCATGGGGCACAGGACAAGGATGGCCCACTTGGAATTAGGAAATGCTTTCAGATGAGGCGGCTGTTAATTAGATTTTTGAAGAGTGGGCATTTGCCTGCTGATTGTACAGTGGAATGTAGATTAGAATGGCTGAGGGATTTCATGGTGGCTGTATATTTATCATGAGGGAAGGGATTACTTCTGTAGGTACAAATACTATTAGAAAAGGTGAATGCTAACGTCCAGTATGCCATTTACTATGTGGTGGTGAATTCTGGTTGCTAGATCACTGCATTTTAGAACTTGCCAGAGGTTGTTCAAAACTCTCAGAGCATTCAGTTTGTGTCATGGATGAATTGTTGAAAATAATATGCATGAAAGGGTGGTAAGGACAGAAATGGAGAGGAGATTAAATATTATTGATAAAAAAATAGAGCCAAGATTAGAGCTGGTGAAAGATGGGAACTGTCTGCATTTTCATGTATAACTGAGAAGCTGATTTCCTGAAAAGATAGATTAAGAGTCATTGGGTTGTTGATAGTTCTAGTATGATAAAAAAAAAAAAAATGTAATGCTAATTTCGTTGTACTATAATTAGTCTCAAATCTTGTTTTAATGGAGTTTTAAGACCTATTAACTGTAAACATACATAGCATTGACTAATGATAGGACACATTCATCTGTAACTTTGATTTAGTTAATTCTGAATTTCTCTTCTGAAGTAGGCCAATATCTTTGAAATAGAGTGTGAAATATTTTCCGTTTCTGTTTATTTAAGATGCAGAAGATAAATGTGTAATAGAAGGCCACAACTGTACCTTTGTTCGTGACTTGAATAAAATTAAACCTTCGGGAAACACAGAAACACTAGGTAGGTGTTTTCTTTCTCTGTTTGCGTTTTTTTAAAGTTGAAATAGACCTTCTTCTTATTCTCCTTGTTTTATTTTCTTGCAGAATTACTACTGAAAGAATTTTTTGAATATTTTGGAAATTTCGCTTTCAATAAAAATTCCATAAATATCCGACAGGTAAATAATATTTTAATATTTGGTGATTAAGTATCTGGTCTTCTGCTGTACTAATACTGAATTAGTTTAGTTCACAAAGTACTCTAATGTGTTACTGTATTTCAACTCTGCAGTAATAGATACTAATAAGGAAATTGAAGCCTGTAGGAGCTGCCTAACTTGAATAAGATCAGTCACCTAATTATTTGGAAGAGCAAAAACCAGCTCTTTCAGCATCTAATACTACATCCTTCAAAATACAGAATATATGCTAAAAATGTTTCTGGAAAACATAATTTTATATACAGTTCTTTTTTTTTTTTTTTTTTTTTTTTTTTTTTTTCTGAGAGAGAGAGCAAGCACAAGCAGGGGAGGGGCAGAGAGCAGGAGAGACAGAATCTCGAGGAGGCTCCACACAATCAACGCAGAGCCCGAGGTGGGGCTCGAACTCCAGAACTGTGCGCGGTCATAACCTGAACCAAGACCGAGAGTCCGACTGAGCCACCCAGCGCCCCTACAGTGTTTTGTTTTGTTTTTTAATTTTTATTTGAGAGAGAGAGAACGAGAACAAGTGGGGGAGGGGCAGAGCGAGAAGGAGAGAGAACCTTAAGCAGGCTCCAGGCTCAGCTCAGAATCCGATATGCAGCTTGATCCCAGGATCTTGGGATCATGACCTGAGCAGAAATTGAGTCAGACCCTCAACCAACTGAGCCACTCAGGTGCCCTTATACAGTTCTTTCTAAACTGCTTTTGTGTTTGTGGAAGAAGTAGGATACACAGCCATGGAGGTTTTAGTGATTCTGTCAGTTTGAGCCCTAAATTTATTTAGGGAAATGAATTTATGATTTTGGTTCATCTGAGTAGCTGGAATGATAGACATTTTTCTAAAACAAGAAAATCTAGAGCAGAACCCTAGGCAAAATTTGTTCATGGTGCGGGATACTTGAGGTAGCTCTCTGGGTTTGTGTTTAGCATTTGGGTACTTAATTATAACCATTGTAAGACTGGCTACATAAAACACATCCTCAGGTTTTTTTTTCTGTTGTTTCTTTAGCTCGCCTTTGTTCATTCTCACCTAACTCTTATCCTGCTCATGGAGATTTTGTTTAACAGCAACAAAAAAAGTGTGGGGAAGGGCAGGGGAGGGGACACAGAGCTCTGAAATGCAAGCTAGTATGGAGTCAGATTCCATATGAGAAAAAGGTCGCTGATCATACGAAGTTCTTTATCCTTTTTGTACTTTACCCCCAGGGCTCAAAGATGATGGATAGGCAGGACCACTGCTGGCTAGGGCATGAGAGAAGTTAGGGAATCACTAGGTGCTGCTCACATTGGGGAATCTTGGCCATTTGCTTTGTAATAGTTGAGTAATACACGTGATAGCCTTTGAAAGAGGAAAAGCTTGTGGAGACTACTGCATCTGCTGGTCGTGTGATCACAGCTGTAGCATTTCTTTTACTTCTGTGAGATGTTGTCGTACCTGTTAGAGCCTCACAGAATAGAAGTTGGGTCTTTAGGAATATAATAAGAAACTTCCAGTGTTTTAAAATGAATAATGAATAATCCTTTGTTCCTTCTCTTCCTTTCTGATTTTATACTTGGGAAACATTAATTACCGTATTTAATTTAAGGATTCTAATTTTGTGTGCTTCTATTATGTTTTTAGCAAGTCTTAAAAATAAGTGTCTTCATCTTATTTTCTGCTATTTTTCTTTGTCATTTTTTTTTACCCTTCCTAGCTTTATCCTGTTAGGTAAAAATTATGTTATTTTAAGAATACTTCTATTGGTTGACTTAGTTGAGGTGCCTCTCATCTGAGCATCATCATTCATAGCTCATAAACCTAATTTATTTTTCTCTAAAGAATAATCACAGGGGCGCCTGGGTGGCGCAGTCGGTTAAGCGTCCGACTTCAGCCAGGTCACGATCTCGCGGTCCGTGAGTTCGAGCCCCGCGTCAGGCTCTGGGCTGATGGCTCAGAACCTGGAGCCTGTTTCCGATTCTGTGTCTCCCTCTCTCTCTAACCCCTCCCCCGTTCATGCTCTGTCTCTCTCTGTCTCAAAAATAAATAAACGTTGAAAAAAAAATTTAAAAAAAAAGAATAATCACAGAACTACAGTGGTAAAAAAAAAATCAGAAGTACATGTTCACATGACATGCACACATACCTGGTTCCCTTAGGAAAGAAATCCTTTACTCTGTAAAGTTCATGCTGGGATTTTACATGTTTTTTAACATTTTATTAAACCAAATGGTTGTTCTATCTGAGCTTTTCGTGTATTTATGCATTTCTCTTCCTTATAACAATCTATAGGGAAGGGAACAAAACAAACCTGAATCTTCTCCATTACACATTCAGAATCCTTTTGAAACTTCTCTCAACATCAGCAAAAATGTAAGTCAAAGCCAGCTACAAAAATTTGTTGATCTGGCCAGAGAAAGTGCCTGGATTTTAAATCAGGAAGATAAAGATCGGCCTTCCTCATCGAGGAGTCAGCCCTGGGGGCTGGCGGCCCTGCTGTTGCCGTCTGTCGTGAACAGCGCGTCTCTCGCCGAGAGGGTAAGGAAGAAGCCCGCAAGTGAAAGAATTAAAAGCCTGCTGGAATCCATAAAAAGTAGCGGTCCAGAAAATGCCACCAGCACCAACGGGAAAAGAACAGTTAGTACTCAGGCATGATGGCTCCTCCTCCAAGAACTGGTTTTCTGCGGTAACATGCTCCTTGGACTACCTGGAACCACTTTCCCCTGATCTTCTCACGGGGCCCCTTTCCGGTCTGAAGTTCTGGGATGGTTTCAGTCTGATAAGCCTCCTTTCCACCGGCACTTTGAGCTGTCAGCCACGAGGAACAGGTGGAAGGAGATCGGAATGTTCTTTAAATAAACTGTACATAGAAAGCGGTAAAAATCCGGTTTCAGATCAAACCATTGTTGATCTCTACATCTGTCTCTGGGTGGAAATCATTTAAAAGGACTTCTAGATATGTACGTATGTAGTCAGTGGATACAATAAAACTTCCGAATTTGCTAGTACTCTTTAGTATGTATTTTTTATTTTTTATTCTTCAAGCAAAGTACTGTACTCTTACTCACATATACATAAAAACAGGTTGGTAGTGATTTCCAAAAATGGTCATGTTTTTAAGATATGAGTGCGGACACTTCATTCACTGCATTCGAGCTATTCCAAGCCAGATCTGTAAAAATATTGGTACATTGTATTTTAAAATATTAGTCACTTTTGTTTTCAAAAATAAAACCCTGTTTCTACTATATATTTCCAATATTCTTTTACTTTTGAAACCTCCTTTCTTCCTGTTCGAAATAGAGACATATTGAAATAGAACTTCCATGACATTTCCTGTGGAATAATTTTCAGTTTTAGAAGCAAATAGTGCGGTGCTAGAAAACAGGGGACTGGAGCCAGCCTGGCTTCCTGGTAGACTGCTCAGCCTGTCCGGGACCCCGTTGTTTCATCTGTCACAGGGGGGACGACAGTAGTGCCTACTTCACACATTGTTTTGAGTGAGGTACGTAGGAAAGTGCTAGGTCAAGAGCCTGGCACATCATACCTGTCACTTTTCTTTAGCTGTTACTTTTTCGTGTTTGTGGTGTGTAATTCTTGCTATTCAGAAATCAGATTTACAGTTTGTGGTGCTTTTCAAAATGGTTGCCCATCTAAATTTTAGGTCAGAAACTCTAACCTGTTTGGGGAACTCACTAATAGAATTGTTACGGAGCAAGTAAGTTCTGCACCCTCATGGCTCTGCTGTTTTGATTTCACATCTGAAACCAACAAACAGGTGTCAGTGTTCTTGTATACATATGCAGTGTTCTTGTATACAGTTCTTTTAAAAGCTAGTTTTCATTTGTTCTTCAGTTAGGTTTACTCTGTTGGGCAAGAAATCTGTACTAAGAATTAAAAAGAGGTTTAAAAAGCATATTTGGTTTAGAGTTTCCAAAGGAAGTGATTTTCTGTTCACAGATATTTGGACATTTTCTTTGTAAGGTTGGACATTGGACATTTTTTTAAGTCTAAAATGATCATTGAGGCACATAAAATACGTGTTAGCATTTTCTTTCTTTTTTTTTTGTAATCTATAGAACAACTCTGACACTGTAAGTTTGTATTACTTTTCAGGAGCAGATTTAATTATGTGCGAAATTTTAATCTACAAAGATCTTCTAATACAAAGTTTTAATTCTAGTTAACTAAATATAGACTACAAACAAATTTAATGTTTTCTCTTAACTTCTCTGTATCGCCTCCCAAATTTTTAAAAAATAGTTTTATTAGATTGTAGAGATAATCTTCAGTTCCTTACCATTGCCATTGCTTAATTAAAACTGATTGCAGCAATAAGGTAAGGAAAAAGTTTTGTTCAGTATGTGAAAGACTTGATATGAGCCCACCTAGCTCAGATTAATTTCAGTTCTACATTTTTCTGGATTTTATGGCCCACTGGTATCCATCTGTAATCTTAGAGGCACAAAGCCTCTAAGTGATCATAGAAGAGAAGAGAAAATACAGTTGAAGTCAGTAGGACTTCCTTCCTGCTGTCAGTTACTCCTTGCCTCTCTCTTCTTTGGCTCAAGGGCTGTTGTCAGGTGAGAACAGAATTAGATGGTTTCAAGCTATGTCGTGTTCCTGGCAATTCCTCAGCCTTTAAAATACAGCTCTATTCAATTCCTTGCAGCCTGTCAGTGCCACAGTAGGGAAAGGCTACATTTGCATGTGTAGTTTAATCCAACACAGTGAACATCTGCAGCAAAGCCAGCAGAAAGAGCAGTCAAGCGGTCACAGCTTGTCCAGGTAGCAACTTTCCACTCTCCAAAGTTTGGCATTCAGTTGGTGAGTAGCTGTCATTGCGTCTCCGTCCAGTCCCTTCAGGAAACGGGGTGGGAGTGGAACATTCAAAATGCCATAGAAGCGAATAAATCGTTTTTGCCTGAGGCGATGAGAAAAGGCTTTATTGATGAATAGCGTAGGTAGACCTTGAAAGAAAGATAGGTAGACTGAGAGAGGGACACGGGGCTTACTGTCCTGAAAAAAGATGACAGTTAAGTAAGAGTCAGAAAGTGGGAAGTGTATTGGAGAACCGGTTTGGACCGGCTGGGTTACAGTTTTTACCCTGATACTCAGAAGAGTTAAGGTTGCGTGAGATTGTGAAGGACTGTGAAAGGCAAAGTTATGGAAGTTCAGTGTATTTTCAGTGGTAAGCTGTTGAAGGTTTCTGTGTAAGAGAATAATAGAAAGGCAGTGCATTTCGACAAGTAATCTGGTGATAAGTGGTTTTGGATCACCACTCCTTTTTGCAATTTGAGTTTCCATGGGTCTCATCCTTAAGTTAGATAAAATTTGGCTGTTAAATTTTCCACAAAGGTCCAGAAGCTGACTCCCCTATACCTCAGAGGAGTTTTTCTTCTTAATATTCAATAAGGAAGTAAGGTTTAAGTAGTTTAAAGTTATCATCAGGAAATAATCAGGCCATGACACCCAGTTTCACGTAAAGCCCTATTAATGAGAAATACTTTACAATACATACTTGGAATGACAGCATGACCAAAAATCACTTTTCAGCTTGGGGTGATGTTGGAAAATTTATTTTCGATACTTGAAAAGCTTATTTTGGTTTCATGCAGAATTCAATTATGTGTGGATACATATTCCAAAGAATATAAACATTACAATGTTCTTCTGGAATTCCCATGGAGCAACTCCCAGAAAATGTCTGACTCTTGAATCTGTAATATGTATAATACAGGATATATAAAGTCACCACAAATTATTTAAAAATATGCTGTTCATATTTTAAATATGATTCTTACGTTATCTGTAGCATGTGGATCCCACCCGCCTTTAAGAACACTGTGGAGTCAAAGCTAGATTAAAGGTGTTACTCACTTTTTCTGTCTACTCTTAGATATACGCATTTAAACTCCCAACTCCCAAGTGGTAGAGTTTCTTACTAAGCTGTTAGAATGTAGTGCTGAAACATCTTAAAAGAGAGTATCGGAAAGATTCAACTTGAACGGTGAATAATTCTATGAAGACAATAGAGTATGGTAAAATACCTAATTTAGAATAGGTATAAATATAAGTTACAGATGTTTATTTTTTCTGGGTTTATTTTACATTATGGCACATTGAAAACTTCAATGGATGCTGTCAAATAAAATGGCTCAAATTAACAGAAAGATTACAGATAGGTCTGTATTATGTTCTGTGTTACCAAAATTCTTTAATTTGTTAAATTGTTAGGTACAATGAACGTCTTATGTTTTTGAAGCTTTTCCTGTTACAAAGTTACTGGTACTTGGCTTAGATGCAAGTGCAGCCTAATGCACTTGCATTAGGTGCAAATTGCACTTAGATGCAAATGCAGCCTAATGATTAGGGTTTTAAATAATCCTTGCTGAGGTTACACATGGACTTGGAGAGTGGTGTGAAGTAGCATATTGACATATTCTCTTCCCCAAAACTAACAGTAAAAAAGGTGCATTATGAAGCTGGCTGATGTCGTGAGATAGAATTTGAAACTCAAAGCCTGTTTTATTTATTTATTTTATTCCATCTAAAACGTGTATTTGTGATTCTGTAAATACACCTATGAATATAAAACTAGCACAAGCTTCTCCTTGTTATTCTTCATTATTAACAATTAATTTTGGTGATGTAGAGGGGCTGTTTGTTAATGATTTACGTGGTAAAGTTCCTTCATGCTCCCGCCTTTCCCATTCTCTAATAGTCCCAACAGTAAGTGTCTTTGGAGTTTCCCTGCTTGATTTCTTGGTGTTAGTGGTTATAAAATTCACTTGTCAGTATTGACTCGTTTCCTTCAACTTTATGTAATTGAGTTTTTTAAAAAGAGAACGAAAGCACTTTTTGCATATTTTTATATTTGATTGATCAACCTATTTTTTTTCTTTTTTTAAGAAGTAACTACACTTAGAATGATGGTGAGCAGTGGCACTTAGTTTTATCTTTTGTGAACTAGTAAGATGGATTCAAATAAACAGTTTTCAGATAACATTGATTTCCATAGCTTTGTCATCACTTCTGGGCATATGAGCCTCAAATCATTTCTCTTTTAACACTGTCCCACCCTCTAGAACTTCAACTTTATTGTGCACTGGACTTTGTGCCCTAACTATCATTCTTCACCTCCAAGTCAGCCTGCGTTGTTAAAGTATCTTCTTCCTTAAAACTGGCTTACCTCATAATTTGCCCATTTCTGTTGTTGGTGCCATTATTTTGTCTGCCACTGAAGCTCAAACTTTGGGATCCTTGTAGACTCCTTCTTTTCCCCTTCCCCTTTGTTTGCCTGATCTTTTTCTATTTCCATTGCCATTAGTTTAGTTCATGCCTGTATTTCTTCTCTCCTAATTTAATGCAATAATCTATTAGCTTGTTTTTTAACCTAATGAATTCCTTCTTCTGTGTACCCACTGAAACCATTAATTTTCAAATGATTAGGATTTAAAACCGTACATGTTATGGTAAATTAATATTAAATTATATGTGTGTGTTTATTTTGACTCTACAGATATTTTGGAATAGTACAGAGGTGGTTTTTTGTTTGTTTGTTTGTTTGTTAGTTATTTATTTTGAGAGAGAGAGAGAGCAGCATCACTTAATGACCTAAAAGTGTACCAGTTTTAGAAAACAGAAAACTTTCA